CCCAATGAGTCTTTCTTGGTTTTGAAGACCCATTTACAACCAATGGCTTTTGCACCATTAGGCAACTCGACAAGATCCCAGACTTCATTCGATACTGTCGAATCCATCTCATCTTTCATGGCACTATACCATAAGTCAGATTCCTTACAACTCATGGCTTCTGAAAACATTTCAGGATCATTTTCGGCTCCAACATTATACTCACACTCTTGTAGATACACCATCTAGTCATTCGGAATTGCTGATTTCCGTACTCTACTAGATCGTCTCAATGTTGTATCAACATTTTCCTGAGGATCATGTTGTACAACCGGTTCAACAATTGCAGGCATTTGTTGAACATGATCTACCGGATCATCAGCTTGTGGAGGTTCGGGAACTGGTTGTTCAACACGCACTAGAGCTGGATAAGTGCGACGAACGACAACAGTTCGAAGGAGACTTGAAGTAGAAGGTTGTGAAATAGAGTGATCACTCTCAGATCTTTCTCCTAATGATCTGTCACTCCCACTAATCAAGTCATTCTCAAAAAATTTTGCATTTCTTGACTCCACAATCCGTGTACTCTGAGATGGACAATAAAATCTGTATCCCTTAGACTTTTCAGCATATCCAATGAAATAGCCACTAATGGTCCTCGGGTCTAACTTCTTCTCTTGTGGGTTATAAACTCTTACTTCAGACGGACATCCCCAAACGCGTACATGTCGCAAACTCGGTTTCCAACCTTTAAACAACTCGAAAGGTGTCTTTGAGACAGCCTTGGTTGGAACTCGGTTTTAATATGTACACCGCCGTTTTAAGAGCTTCATTCCACAAGGACTTAGAAAGTTTTGAGTATGATAACATACTCCGCACCATGTCCAATAATGTTCGGTTTCTCCTTTCCGCTACACCATTCTGGCTCGGAGAACCAGGTGTGGTATATTGGGCAACAATCTCATGTTCAGCAAGAAACTTTGCAAAAGGACCGGGTGCTTGTCCATTTTCAGTGTATCTACCGTAATATTCACCACCCCTATCTGATCTCACGATCTTTATTTGCTTACCGCATTGTTTCTCTACTTCTGTCTTATAGAGTTTAAAAGCATATAGTGCTTTAGTCTTGTTATCAAGAATGTAGAGATACATGTATCGCGAGTAATCATCTATGAAAGTGATGAAATATTTCTGTCGATATGCATCTATGTCTGGACAACATATATCTGTATGTATGATCTCTAATAGATCTGAACTCCTTTTTGCACCTTTCTTTGATGTGTTAGTCTGCTTTACCTTTATGTAGTCTACACAGGTTTCGAAATCAGAAAAATCTAGAGTACTAAGTACCTCATCTTTTACTAATCTCTTAACCCTCTCAATGGAGATGTGTCCCAATCTCCGATGCCATAACATAGAGGATTCTTCATTCACAACACATCTTTTAATACCAGCATGAACATGCATCATAGCATAAACGTTATCATTTTGCACATTAAGTCGAAAAAGACCATCAGACAATGTACCATTCCCAACAATATCATATTTATAGATAAGATCGAAACCATAGTCTGAAAAGTTGAAGGAATAACCAAAAGGTACAAGTCTTGAAACGGAAATTAAATTCCTAGAAAAACCAGGAACATAAAAGGTCTTTTCCAACATAAGTACATAACCATTACTTAAAACTAGATAACATGTTCCAACAGCCTCCACATGTGAGCGCATCTTGTTTCCCGAATAGATGCATTGCTCACTTCCCACTGGCTTCCTTAGGTTTTGCAAACCCTGTAGAGAATTCGTAACATGGATTGTAGAACCAGAATCAATCCACCATGTGTTGTGACCAACATCGATCATATTAGATTCATAACAAACGAGTGTAAGTGAGTTACCTTTCTTAACAAGCCACTCTTGGAATCTCTGGCAATCCTTCTTCATGTGTCCCTTCTTCTTACAGAAGAAACACTTGGATTCCTTCTTGATGTTTCCTTGAGAAGTCAACTTTTCCTTCCCTTTCTTTTTGGCTTGGTATTTCACTTTTCCTTGAGTTGCCAAATGCACACTCTCTCCACCTTCCATAAGCAACCTCCCTTCCTCTTGAACACACATGTTCAACAGTTCGTTGATCGACCATTTATCCTTATGTGTGTTGTAAGAGATCTTGAAGGGTCCGTATTGCTGCGGCAAAGAGTTCAAAATGTAATGCACAAGGAAAGAGTCAGACATGGTAACCTCAAGTGTTTTGAGTTGAGCCGCTAAATCCCTCATTTGCATGATGTGATCACGCACTCCTTTGGTACTGGTGAGCCTCAAAGTGGAAAACTTCATAATCAGGGTGCTCGCCAATGCCTTATCTGAAGACTCAAATTGTTCATCAATAGCCTTCAGCAGCATACAGACATTGTCGTACTGCTCGATCGAACCCCGAATGCCAGATGAGATGTTTGTCTTTATGAACATAACGCTGAGGCTATTAGATCGCTCTCACCTTTCATAAAGTTCAATCTCCTCAGGCTCACTCTCCTCAGTAATCGGAGGCGGTTCGTCTTTCTAAACAGCATAGTCAATGTCCATCCACCCCAAATGAAGTAGGATTCTTTCCTTCCACACCTTATAATTATCCCCTTTGAGCTCGGGAATATCGCATTTCATGTCAGAGACATTCACAGGTTGAAAAACTGAACAAAACATATCAATATAGATGCTTATGTTAATAAAATTAATGCAACTTTATGTGACGTTTTACCAATGTAAAAACATCAACAATATGAATCATATGACATAAAAACTGTCTGTGGGCTAAGTTTCTAATTCAAATAGATTCATTTAGCTTAATGATGAAACTATCGGATTATATTCGTTTCTCAATCCTTGTGGACAAATTAAGAAACATAATCGACTTTTCACCCTAATTAATTACATAAATATAATAAAACTTCCTGTGGGATAAATTTTATTATATCAATATGATTAATTACAATCAATATCTGTAACTAAATGTGATCCAATAACAAAATTTATGTATAATTTAATTCTAATTAGAGATGCTTTGGCTATTCTCTAATTTAAATAAATTATACGACTACTAGATATATATTTCTGTAAATACAAATTATTGCTGAGAAATAGACGTAGTCTAGTGGCTGTGCCTTCTCATCTAGAAAAGGTCTTGGGTTCAAACCTTGTTGCTCAATGCCTTTTCCCTCATTTATTTTTAAATGAGAACCAATAATATATGTAGATATATAAACATAAATGGACCCATCACGGCCCACTAACATAACTTTCTAATATATTAAAAAAAATCAGAAAACCCTAAATGCATCTTCTTCTTTGCGTTATCTGTGCTCCACTTTCTGTTCTTTATGGTGACAGCTCTTTCTCTATATTTTTTTATATAAAATCTTTATGTCTCCGATGACAACGACAACTCCGGTGGTGAAGGTTCATGACCGATGACCATCACCAGATTCGTCTACATAAATGTTGTCACGGAGAGCAAATCCGAGAATAGAGCCACCGACCCAACAAATCGCATAGATCCGAAACGCAGAGATGAAGAAAAAACAAAAAATTGCTACAGTTTTCTGGTCTAGCACAGATTACAAACAACAAGGTATTCTATTTCTTATTTTAATGAGTTATGTTCATAATATCTATTTTCATAGATTCAAACAATATCACAACCCATCAATTTCTATATCAAAATTACAAAAGCATGGAATAATTCGAAATTTCTGTAACTAGAGTTAATACAGAAAAATTATTCCAATAATCATGTCAGATTTCATGAAAATTAACTAAATAAAATAGCAAAAAATTCATGAACAACAAATTTTCAAGGCAGAGATTAACAGCAGCTCTGATACCAAATGTAAGTTTAAAATTCTTTAAACTCATCTAAATCATGATCTTCAATATGCATCACTTTAACATACAAGATCATGAATGCAGAAATAAAATTCTGAATCGAAAAACATACCTCCGGCCATTGAAATTCTTGAATTGAAATCTGAATATTTGGTACTTCTAAACCTTTAGCAATACAATACTGATGGTGTATTTCTATCTGTTTTGCTTGGCTTAGGGACCAAATACGTTACCCCTATTTATTGTTTTTTCTCCATAAAAAAAAACTGCTATTGGGGTGGTTATCATGCAGTTAATACAACATGGAGGAAATATTAGACCATTAACATAATGGGAAGTTAATAATAAAAACTTCCAACACTGCCCAGTCCCGAGGGCCTTGTTTTCTTCTTCCTTTCTCTTCTTCCTTTTTCCATTTTTATAGGTTTGTTCTTGTTCATTGTCCGTTGTACAAGGAGAAATCGAACGTTTCTGATTCTGGGTTTTTGATACTTCATATATTCCTGGAGTTTTCTGTAAATTTCATGGTAAATTTCAGAACTTTCCCAGATGGGTACCTGCGGATCGGATCGAAATCTCATTTTTCATCATCTTCTTATGTGGTTTTACCCTACCAATAGTATCATCACTTGAGAAGCAGAAAGAGGAGTGGGGGGATTATGGTGGAAAGAGAAAGCTTTTTTTATGGTCTCCGGGATTTACGATGGAAGCAAGCAGGACTGAAACCGAAAGGAGCAGAGAAATGACAATGACTGTGGCTACTAATCTATAAATGGACATAGATGGAGAATATTACAAAAATACCTTTAAATGTCGATTTCACTTACATGACATATCCTTCAAAAAACAAACTTTAAAAAAAAACTGAAAAAGAATGAAAAGACATCGTTATCCCTTTTAAAAAATACACGTGTCAACATCTGAATGAGAAAGACCAAAAGTTGGGAAGTTACTAAATTAAAAAAATTTGAAAAACCAAACAGTTTTTTTTGTCCCTTTTCGACAGACACTTTCATTTCTTCATAGTGTCGTTTCTTCTTCATTTTCTCTTCACTCTGTGATTTTTCTGTGCGATCTTTCTGTGCGAGTTCGTCAAACTTGTCAAATTTGCACGAAGAATGGCTTCGTCTTCATCATCTTCGGCCCCCTCTTCGGACCCTACTTGAGAAGACCTCCAGGTATGGTTTTTGAACTCCGCAAAAATCAAATTTTTTAGGGTTTCGGGTACACATTGAGTAATTTGCACGAAGAATGGCTTCGTCTTCATCATCTTCGGCCCCCTCTTCGGACCCTACTTGAGAAGACCTCCAGGTATGGTTTTTGAACTCCGCAAAAATCAAATTTTTTAGGGTTTCGGGTACACATTGAGTTTCGGTTTTAGATTTTCTATTAAGTTTTCGTTAAGAATAGGGTTTGAAATAAAAATTTGAAAAACTATGGTTTGAATGACAAATTGTCACTGAAATATCGAAATAGGGTTTTCGGATTGGGTGAGAAACAATGTTTTGTGAAAAAGACGGATAGAAATCGAGTCACGATGATATTGTCGACAGTCGGATGCACTAAAACATAGATTAATGGTCATGCTAGATATTAGTTAAACTTGTTGGGTTTTGCTACGGATTCCTAGCATGCGATCATATCGATCTAGGGTTTGGTTTACTAGGTTTCATACAGCGGAAGAATAATCTAAACCTAGTCAAACGTCACACGCAACCAAAATCATCCGTAAAACCCCGTTCAATCGTGTATATCACCGTAGGAATCGAATACTTACCTCTTTCCTGAAGATCTGAAAGTAGCAATCGATCCAGAGCCTGTTTTAATCACCAAGAGCTGAAAGTACAGCTCCTCTACACGTATCCACACCGACGCGAAGGATTCAAAACGCTTTTGGAACTGATCTGCTAAGATCTGTGAAGTGAATAGGGTTTTCAAGACTTGGGATCGAATCCCAGGAACTAGAACCTCAAAAGAAACGATTGTCTTGTGTTCTAGATCTGTCTTAGGGTTCTGTAAGTCAATCATCTACTTAGGACGGCGTCCAACACCTCCTTATAAGATAGAAACCCTAATCCTTGTGAAAAGAGACTTTTTCCGAGTATTGACTCGATCCGAGTCAGATCTCTGACTCGGTCGAGTCAGAACGAATCAGCCCAACCCCATTGTCAACTCTTGACTCGGCCCATTTAGTATTGACTCGGTCCGAGTCAAAACTTTGACTCGACCGAGTCAAAACATCAGCCAAGCCCAAAACACTTTCTGGGCTTCGACCCGCATGGAACTGACTCGGTCCGAGTCAAATACTGACTCGGTCCGAGTCAGGAGGCTGAAAAACGTCCCGACACTCTGATTTGATCCGAAAACGGTTTTTCCGACCAAATCCAAGTCTTCCTTTCCGAAACTTCACATAAGTCCATCCCTAATGGTGTGTGACCCCGTAGGCCCATTCGCAGTGGCAGCAGCCTCGAGAACCATTCCCGATCTACAAGTCATGGTTAGCCTCTAGCAAGACGCCATGACCACCCACGTTGAATTGAGTTAGAGGTGATCTAACCAAGGCAATAACAGCTCGAGTTCTGATCCTTTATCTCACGATATCATATGTTGAACAAGGGCATGGTTTGAGCCACCCTTCAAGTTCAACCGCTTTCTCGTCTTGGCAAATCAACTAATAAAATAGATGCAACTTCATCTAGCGTGGCCATGCATTTTCATAGTCCGACTTCCACGAGAGGGCCCAGCGATATCTCGCCTATTGAGGAGGTGATAAGTCCCATATTGCATGTATACTATCTCCATATGATTCGTGAACGTATCTGATCAACGCCGTTATAATCATCCGGTTAAAGACGACGTTTGACGCAGTCAAGACACGCCACTCCTCATATCAGATACTCTAGACATCTCAGGTCTAAGGATCCAAGAACGAACCGCTGTATGAGATTCAAGTCATGACTCTGTCCATGTGACAATCTCATGCGGGTCAACCAGTCACTCGTTCACAACGAGTACCCATGATTGTGAAATGCATCCAATGCATCGATCACACCTCAGGCTAGTCTTAATTCATCATTGTTCCCACAATGATAACTGACCAGGGAGTTTAGAATCATTCTATAATGATTCAAGGATACCGAAATATAACAAACATGCCAATCATATAACGGGAAGAGTAATGCATTCATAAACTAATGAATCAATATAAAGTCAAATGTCATATCACGGATCATCCTAGAGCATTACAACCAACAATCTCCCACTATGCTCTATGATCTATCCTACAAGCATCTAATCCCCATACCCCTAACATGACCATCATGTTTTGACGAAGTGAGAGGCTTCGTCATCGGGTCGGCAATATTATCATCTGTCGACACTCTGCTTATCTTCACGTCTCCTCTGTCGATAATTTCTCTGATCAAGTGAAATCGCCTGAGTATGTGTTTGGATCTCTGGTGTGACCGGGGTTCCTTAGCTTGCGCAATCGCACCATTGTTGTCACAATACAACTCAATGGGATCTGCAATGCTAGGAATGACGCCCAGGTCTCCCACGAATTTCCTGATCCAAACAGCTTCCTTAGCTGC